GAACTTTCATGACGTTCTGCTTGTGATACAACATGGCTTGATGGACTAAATCAACTAATCGAATCATTTCACCTGAATATGCGTTCACTCAAACTCTTATCGAATAACCCAGTTTCATTTTCCTACCATCAAATTTTGCAAAACTACATAACCAAATCCATTTCACCTGTATCATTTCCTCTGGCATAATACCCGTCAGACCCCCGTAAAATTTGCCCAGTTGTTTGGAGATCTGTTGAAACGCCGCTGACGGAACAGATCCTTTCGGCTCCCACTGAAAGCAAATGATGAGTGACAAATTTAGCTTTGCAATCTTGCAATCAGCGTTAACTATAATCGGCTGCACGGAAAACAACATAAATAAACAACATAAATACGAGACTGGCTAGAATACAACTATAATATAATAGAGCAGCTCGTAAATGAAGAGATAAATTAAGAATCAAGAATGAAAAAAAAAACGTCATTTAGATAAAAGATCACTGACTTGTTGCAATTGCGCAACTGTATGATGTTCAATGACGCTGATCAATTTGTTAACGATTTCATCGATATGATCATTGTAATCCTCAAATTGTACATAACAATAATATTTCTCGAATGTTTCTAACTGAATTCATTTTAAAATGAAAATACGAATAATAAATCTCAGTACTACTTCAAACGATTTTCTATGAGCAAATATTCGAGATTTACGAAATACGAAAGGAATCTGAATCTTACCCGCATAATATGAGTAACATGTCTTAATTGATTCTGCTTGCCAGCAGATAACTGCTTTTCGAAATCGGCCTTGAGATAGGGTATGAAACGAAGTATCAATTGAAGGCATCGCGACGACAAAGCTGTAATGTTTTTTGCTTATCAGAACACATCGTACTCTGTTGCTTGAAACAATTTCGGAGCCCAGAACTTGTGTGAATGGATATGAGGTAAATGAATCTCAATAACGAAGATAAAATGAGCATTCAATTATACTGTACACGTGATCGCTTCAATAACAACGATCTGCAATCGCTAACTAATGACTCAAAGCACTGAACGCAAAATTTCTTAATGATACCATTGTGTTCATTCATTCACGGAAACGAAGTTGTTCGCCTTTATGCATACTCAAAATGTCTCAAAAGCTCCGGACATGATTCGTTCCATTTTCCGGAAAATCTCCATTTTTTTGACAATATAACGCAGGTAGTTTCAGCACAATTTCATCGCAATTAAAATTCGCTGGTCAGATGAAGACAAATTCATCTCACAATCAAATGATATAACAAAGCATATGATAACGACAGTCGATATGTTTAATATCAAAACTATGAAATGGTCCACTACCTAAATGTTTAACGCTGATTGACTTCAAACCGATCAGCTGTAGAGCACCAGCTCCGAGTATCAACTGACAACTACGTGAGTTGAAGTTCTTCAATACCTCCACAACGCACATCAACAATTCAGAAGCAAATTCAGGCAGAACAGCGAGTGCGTCACAATACTCAGCCATCATTTGCAGTACCAAGAGCGCAGTCCTTAAAAGTCCAGAAAACAGTCAACACTCCTCATTATTTAACCTTCTGCTCAAGGCAATATATAACTGAGACATTCAATTACCCAACAACAACATAAGGTTCGCCATCGACCATCAAAGCGTTCTGATGATTCTTTGAGGTTTTTGTATCGCCAAATGATTGCTTCTGATCAACAGCAGTTGACACATCGCTCAAACGTTCGTTTTGCAAGCATTCGTCGACAATCCGTTGAAACAACTCAGGCACTTCACCGGCACGCCAATTCTCCGAATCCAAAATATGGCTGAAACATCCACTCTGCATAAATATGCACCCATTGCTGAGCTGCTACTGTCAAAATCACCAAATATACTATTGACGACTGGCAGAATTCACTTAAATACTTTCGAATTTCATACAGTTCTCACACCTTTCCGCAGCCGAAGGGATCATCACATCGATTGTTTTTTGATAAGACAGTTACTACTGATCCGATAAGTCTATTGATAAATCTCCAGAATTTTTGCAAATCACTGCCATTCCAGATATCAATTTCACGATAACTATCGTATTCACATTCACCATTCAATAGGAACATCCGGTATGCATACTATTATATCGCCCAATCATCAGCAGCACAACAAATGAAATTGAAATGAATAACGCATGCAGTGTGTGTCAATCCGTAATCGTCGAACCTCAATTTCGCTTTACGATCCTGATGAAAATGCTTGATGAAACGCGCACTCAGCTGCACAATACACAACTGTAACGGTGATGAATACTTCACTTCACGTCCAATCAACAAACCGCATCGATTAATGAATTCGTCGGCGATTCGTAACACTCGTTGAAATTCACATAAGGACAGTCGCTCCAGAAATCCATCCTGATAAAGCAAAACTACATTGATAACTGAAAACACTATGGTATTCTCATAATCAGCTTTTCAGGCACGTTGTTTTCAGGTTTCTTTTTTTTTAAATTTTGCAACAGAACAAAATTTCTGAAATGGATTTCTTAAGTTATTCTGCTGGAATACATTCTGATGCAAAAACCAGAGTCAATGAGCTGATAAGTCATCATCGATAAGGAATGGAACCTTTGATCTTGCAACGAAAAGTCGACAACTTCGTTCCTGAGCCGTATATGTCGCATGGCCAGTCAATAGCGATATTGATTGTCGCACCTTAAAAACAATCAAAATAGACACATTGCACTGAATATTGCTAGTTTGGATGAAACGACAAAATTAAACTGACTTCGCTCTACAATTAACGAAAGTTAAATTACTAAACTTTTCTAAATCTTAAAAAAAAAACATAAAATCATCCGCCGAATTCACGAGAACAAATTCAGAAATTTCCCCATTCTTGCACAAATTCAATTTTTCCTTGCAAAGTTATAATTGTCACGCAAAGATATACATTTTCATAGGCCAGTTGGATTACTTCAAAATTCAAAGGAATCATCTCAGCATCAAAATAATACCGCTCACAACACAACTAACTGAAAATATTGCTAGGCACAACCTATTACCTGTGGGATATTCCTACACGGCATTGATAAAACGGCAGCTGGTGTGGAGACTTTTAACGGTGGTTGTGTACTCATATCTGAAGAATTTGCACTGTCACCGTGTGAAATAATACTAGCTCTACGTTGATTAAACAGTGCAGCGTGCTTTTGTTGGTGTTGCAGATCAGATGCGTTGTGAACACATACTGAAGACTGACTGTGATGAATTGCAAAAATGTGTTTTGTTGGTGCTGTGGCAGTGCTGTCAGATGGCATTCTATCTAGTGAGACTGTAGACGGTAATTTTGGCATTCTGATAGGATCGAGAACCATACTGGTCACGGATCCTGATGGTGATAAGTCCGGCAGTTGATCAACACTCTCTGTCACTCCGTCTACCGTCAAATCATCCTCCAAATCATCTTCTGGTTCGTCGTCATGCTCAACGATTATTGACGGGTGATTATTATTATTATTATTGCTGCTAGTGTTGCTCGTAAGATTTGATTGTTGCTGCTGTGAGAACGCTGATTCCGTCTGCTCAATTCTGCAAACAAATCACAGGAATAATGACATACTTATGAAAATTTTCGAGTTCGCATTCAAAAATGGATAAACGTGCAGACCTGTGATCATATATCGTTCACCCTACTTTTGCTTTAAATATAACTCTCCTGCGGTTCCTCCTCCCAAATGAGTTTCCCACCCTTCATATGGATGGATACATAATGAAAATTGATTTAAAAAACTGAACAAAACCTGAAATGAATGCACAACAAGCCTCTCACTGAAAATTCGAACAGTTTCACTGATTCAGCAAAGCAACGAAAACGGAAATTTGTCCAGAACGATCAAAACGAAGAGAACCTTTCCATAGATAGTGATGAAGTGCATTGTGGTTGCTCCACAACGTTACCGCTATCGCAGTACAACTCCACGTAACGATCGATGTTCTCGGTGATGAGCTCTTGAATGGTTTGCACTCGACGACACATATAGAAGAGCACATGCAGCAGATGTTCCAATGCATTCAACCATTCACTTAACGACAACTTACGCATTTGATTACCCAAACTTCCCAATGTTGGATCATAGACACTCAACTGTTGTTGACCGTTTGCACTGCAATTCGATACCACATGCGATTTGATCGTCTGAAAATCACCGTCATCATCAAATAGGCACAACGTAAGGATTACAAAGATAACAGCTGCATTGAATACTTCGCTAGACTTGAACTGAACCCAACGCCTTCGCAAAAGCACCGAGCATTAAATTGCTCGTGAAGAAAACAACAGCAAACAAACCTGTCGCAGCAAATTTTTGATTGCTTCAACGATTTCCTGCTGTAGTACATGAACGAAACGAAGCTCTCGAACACGCAACAGGCCAATCACTACCGGATTGAACTGACCCTGAAATTTTGATGAGGATCTAATTGTGAGTGATAAATAAAGGCATCAATTTGATCACTCATCAAAACCAACACAATGACATAAATATATATCAGTGAAAATGTAACAAATCAGAACAAAGGCAGATGATTCGACTGAATCGCTAAAAAGATTTCATATTCGTTGCAGTCAATTTTCCTTCATTCCCGATAGATCACAATCACAACAAGTAAACAGTTTTTTTCTGCTTTTCTGCATCTAATATCGAGTTGGCGCTCATTGTATCCTTCTTTATATAAATGCTCATTGCACTGAGTTTCCGGTCATATGAGATATTTTTTGAGGGTTATGATATGCAATGAATACCCTTTAATAA